ATGTACGTCAATTTCAAAAATTAATTAATAAAAAACCATCACTGCCCAAAAAAAAAAAAGAATATGCATGTGTGGTTTTTATTTTCAAAGTACAAAATAATCACATTTAAAAAGAAAAATATTTGTTGGTAATAGAATAATATAAGATTTCATGAAACACAGTGAAAAAAATGGAAATTAAATAATAAATATTATGTTAGTAAATACCCGGTGCCAAGTAGCCTATTGTAGCCAAAGTCTTGGTATAAATTTCCACTTGTCCTTCAACTAGCAATTTGGCAATGCCAAAATCACTAAGGTGGGCCACCATATCTTCATCCAACAATATTTACTCGGTTTTATATCATAGTGAACAGCTGATATAAGAGAACCATGATGAAGATATTCCAAACCAGCTTCCACATCGATCATTATATTCAACCTTTGAAAGGTATCCAAATAATATTTATTGGAATACAACCATTTGTCAAGACTCCCATTTGATGTGAATTCCATTATTATGGATTTAAATTCCCCATTTGAGCAATCACTAATTATTTTAGTGAGATTAAGATGATGTAAATTACGCAACGTAGCGCAGTCAATATCAAAACTCTTTAATGCTCCTTCCAGGTTTTGAGTTAAATACTTTAATAGCAGCCACTTTTTTCATTTGGAAGAATTGCTTTGTCGACTAATCCAAAATTTTCCCTTTCAAGAAAATTACACTCATCAAATCATTTGTTGCTCGTAGAAGCTCATAATAGGATATCCTCATTAGTGTCTCAAAATTTATTAAACCCTTGTTAGTTGAATCATTAACATGATCTCTCTTATGTTTTAAAAAGACTATGCATAAAATAATAACCAAAATGACAACCATGGTAGGTAATAAGTGTTTTATCAACAACATAACTTTACTTGAGTTATGCTTGTTTCCTGCATGGCTACAGTAGTAGCTGAGACTTTTCACAAAGATCTTTATTCATCATCAAAAAATCAGTTGGGAAATTCTTAAGAGACCCACCATATGGGATTTCTCCTTGCAACAAATTGTATGAAAGGTTAATGTATTTTAGATAGATGAGTGACTCCAATGACTTTGGAATCACACCAAACAAGTAATTTTGAGAAAGATCCAAGAACTCCAAGCTTATCATTCCACCAATGGATTCCGATATGGGCCCTTACAATTTGTTATGAGGCAAGAAAGACAAAGCAAAGTTTTCTAGCCACCCATAGTTGTAGGGATGTTTCCTACAAGTTGATTTCTTGACAAGTTCAAGAGTGTAACTGCTTTGCAGTTTGATACTTCAGGGGGAATTCTTCCTCTCAATGAATTGGAGGATGAGTCTAAGACTAATATATCTTCAAGACTCGAAGGAGAAGATGGTATATGAGAAATCAATCTGTTAGAGCTTAAATCCAACTTCCGCAAAGATGTATTTGTGAAGCACTTTGGAATCTTTCCCGAAAACATGTTTTTGGCTAGATACAATTCATTCAAACTTCTGATTTGGCATAATTCATTTATGATGGACCCTTGCATTCGGTTGCTGCTAAGACTGAAATATTGAAGACTTAGCAGTCTCTTAATTGTACTTGGAATCATCCCATTCAAATCATTCCCGTCAAAATATAATGCCATCAAATTGGTTAGATTCCCAAGTACATAGGGTATAACTCCACTAAATTTATTATGTGATAAATCTAACACAGTGAGCTCGGAAGCATTTGATATGCTGGTTGGAATTTGTCCAATAAAATGATTTTGTCCCAACCTTGATTCCTATAGGTTGGTAAGGCCAGTTCCTAAATTTGATAGGAGAAAATCAGATAGGGAATTATATGCAAGGGAGACATATGTCAATGCCGAAATGTTCAATATGTGGAAAGGAAAGGATCCATTGAAATTATTATCTGATAAATCCAACTGCTCAAGCTTATCAAGATTGCCTATCTCTTTGGGTCTAAAACCTGGAAGCAAAAATTTGTTGGATGATTAACAAAAAAAAAACTGATGGATGATAACATTTATATAATAGAATAAAGTAATGAAATTTGACAAAACAAATAATATGCTTGTGTGTGTTACATATGTTACAAAAATTTGAATTCACTTCTCTATGATCTATACTGCAAGAAAACTCCAAATTAATTATTAATTTCGATTCCTTTCAGATTTTTGGTATGCTTAGTCCACAATTTTTGTCCAAAAAAATTATTTCATAATTAAATATAGGAAAGTGAGGAAACAAATTTCATCCATGTGTGAAATTAATTAGTCATTGACTTGTCTTATCACTCCTTAATTATGTGTCACATAAAACTCTAACTACTTTTTGGTAAAGGATTCCATAGCATGTGATCTTTAGTGAACATTTAATAAAACTAAAATATTCATGTCTCAAATTTTAATGTTACCATATATACACTAGTACAAGAGTATGCCCTGGTTTTTAATTTACCGAAAGAAGCTAGGGATAGGAATTGAGAGATCAGAGAGAGGGAGAGGGAGGAGATAGAGAGAGAGATTGAAAATATTAAATTTTAGAGCTCGCAATCATTTCTCTCCAAACTAGCATGCTTGAATGAAAATACGTACTAAACAGGTGATGAAGTTATGAACACACACACAACTCATGTACAAAGGCGTGTAGGATTTTGAGCATACCTGAAAATGAGTTCATCCCCAAAAAAAAAGCTAGCAAAGATGTGCAGTTACTTAGTGATTTTGATATATTTCCTCCAATTTATTATTAACAGCCCGAAAGACTTCAAGTAAAGGGAGCTGATGGCACATTTCTTTTGGCAAATTGCCATTTAACTTGTTGTCAGAAAGGTAAACCTCTCCCACAGAAGATGTGATGAAAATAAATTGAGGAATTTCGCCTAGGAAAAAAGTAGGCAATTTATGAATTTCACTCAGAAAAAGTTTTGCAAATAATAATCGGAATATTGTTAAAGCATGAAATTGATGGATGAGTAGATTGACCATACCTGTGAAGGAGTTGTAATTTAGAAATAAACATTCCAGCATTGTCTGATTGCTAATTGACATTGGTAGACCACCATTTAAGCTGTTTCTTGTTAAATATAGTTCTCTTAAAGAAGTGTCGAAGAGCGATGATGGAATTTCTCCTGTTTAGAATTTAGTGATGTGAGGAAAACGATGATTGATATTCCCTCTAGTCCTCAATATATCTAAGTCAGATAACTAATTTGTAAATATTAAAAAAAATTAGTTAAAATAATTATTTGTCAAAAATGTGTGTTGGTTTCCCTAATGATGGAAATCTTATTGATATGCTTAATTAACAAGGAGAATTCAGGAAAATAATTATAAGTTTGGAAGACAATGTGATGGATTGGAGTCTTATATTTAAAATAATGTTAATCTCTCTACTAATTCTTATATTTAGATTCATATGAAGTGACACCTGTAGGTATAAATACAAAACCCATTTGTAGTGTAAATTACACAATGAAATAGGTTTTATACTGAGAATTGAAGGAGTATTATACTGTTAATAATCCATATGCCTTGCTTATTAAGCTACTACCTTCGGTCCTAATTATAAGACCCAGTTGACTTATTTGAGGAGATTAAGGAAGGAAGTTAAATTAGTTATTTGTAATAAATAAGTGTTGTTATTCCTAAAATATCTTTGCTAATTAAGTGTATTAGCTAAAACTATTATTATTAGAAGGACTATCTTGGAAAAAAATGTATAAATATGAAAGACAAAATGGATTGGGGTCTTATAATTAGGACCAAACAAAAAGTCAAACGGGGTCTTATATTAAGGATCGGAGGTAGTATATTTTAGTACAAGTTCTCTTAATAATCCACATGCCTTCTTCTTATCATGCTTGCATTTTCAAAAGAATCCATGCACTGTGCAGCTCCTTCTTCGCTTCAGTTAAACGTTCTAAGCTATCATTGCTTATAGAAAACTGATTCTGATGCAAGATACAAATGTAGAAAAATTTTTATTTTGATTTAAAAAATTAAAGTGTTTTCAATTAAAAAATTTGGAAAGGTTCACCATAAAAAAAATTTGGAGATAATATTTGCTTTCGCCGTACCCACGTATATTACCTATCATAAATGGACTTTTGTTAAAGAATAAAATTAATGATCCGGATTATTGAGAATATACCTGTTAAGGAGTTTTCTTCTAGATATAAATATTCCAGCATCATGCAATTGCCGAATGATGATGGTAGCCTATCTTTTAGATTGTTGCTTGTTAAATAGACCTCCATTAATGAAGAAATGCTGAAGAGAGATGTTGGAATTTCGCCTGTTGAAAATTAAAACTGAGCAAAATTATAATCGATTATATAATGACAATAATCCAAACCATGCTTATTAAGCCTAGGTTTCAGTATCAAGTTTCAAGAGGCATTTAATTAATAAATACAATTTTAAGCATAAAATTACACCTTGGAAATAATAACTATGATATGAGTGAATAGAGCATATACCTGAAAAGGAGTTGTAACGGAGATCTAATCTTTCGAGTAACGCCCAATTGCCAACCGATATTGGAATATTACCTTGTAGATTGTTTCGACCTAGACTTATTTCCCTCAATGAAGAAATATTAAAAAGAGACGATGGAATTTCATCTGTTTAAAATTTGAAATTAATAACACATAAACAATGGATACTTTCCATTAAATTAAAGCTGTATAAATGAGCACGTAAGTTGATCATGAAGTGTCTTGGGAAGGGTAAAAATGAGATAAAATTACATGATGAATATGGAATGATATTGATGCGTGTGTGTGTCCTGCTGGTCAAAATATATATGATATAAACATATATTTGAGCAATATACACAATCAGCTTACTTGCGAAATGGTTTGTTTCTGATGTCATGTTCCGTGTCTTTAAAAGAAATGCAACTAGATAGTATATTCATTGAAAGATAACCACTAAATTTGTAATGTAAATTAATGACTTGCTATAAACAAATATGAATAAATTACAAATGGATAAGTCAACCCCTTACCTTGCAAGCTGTTGTTGCTGAGATATAAGTATTGGAGGTTGGTCAAATTTCCAATGTCACTTGGGATGCTTCCTTCCTTGAATCTGTTATTGCCTAGATTTAACTCTGATAATTCTTTGCACTGATGCCGAATTGAAGGTATTTGACCAGACAACTCATTTTCATTTACATAAAGTCTTGTAAGTTTTGCAAGCCCAGAGCATACCTTTACTGGAAGGCTACCAGAGAGGTTATTGTTGTCAAGTTCAATGAATTGTAGCATTGAACTATTAAATATAGCGGATGGTATAGAGTTGGAAAGTTGAATATTTGAAAGATATAGTAGCTGTAGCTGTGGAAGATTACCAATCTCCTTGGGAACGCCTCCTTCAAATAATTGAGGGGAAAAAAAGAGTCACTATGGGCTTTATAACTTGCATATAATTTAATTTCAGGCATCACGTGAATTGGTTTGTCCTGGCGAAATAGATTTGTCCATAGAAAGGGAAAATTATAGATTTTACCAACTATCAAAGAGACACCTGATAAAATGTTATAAGACAAGCTCAGTCTTTCAAGTGAAGACAAGTTGGAAAGTGGTCGTGGGACTGCTCCAGAAAGCCTGTTCTTTGCAAGTCGTAAAATCTTCGAGTTACCTAGACTTCCTATCTCAGGTGGAATGGTCCCTTCAGTGAAATTATATTTCCAATGCAAAGTCTCCAACCTTGATAGATTGGATGAACGTGGCCGAATAAATCCACTAAAACTGTTATTGCAAAGATCCAAGTGTTGAAGTGTAGATAAAGCTCCTATCCATGTTGGAACGTGTCCATGAAGGTCATTGTAACTCAAGTTAAAGAACTTCAATCCATGTAATTGAACTAGTTCTTTTGGCATTTGACCACGAAAATTGTTGTTACTGAGATCAAGTTCAGCAAGAAATAAGAGATTTCCTAGCTGTGGAGATATGATGCCAATGAGATTCATACCGCTAAGATGTAAGGAGTGAACTGGCGAGCATTGCAAGTGACACTAACCCAGTTGCATGGAGAAGAGGACGCCGACTTGCATGGAGAAGAAGACGCCGACCAGTTGGCCAACAGATTGTATGGATCCAAAGTGACGAAGGATTTAAAGGCAAGAAGTGCATGTTTGTCAGTGGTGATATCAGTCTCACTCCAAGTTGAAGAGATCATCAAGCAATGAAGTAAGAAGATGAAAACAGAGCAAGAAGGTTTTCTCATGTTCAGCATATATCAGACTAAAAAAGCTGCAAGTATATATTGAGTATTCACACATACACACATCAATTTATACTTCTTCAAACAAATCAAGCCCAACCTGTGAGTTAATTAGGAGATAGGTGTATATATGTTAGGCAAGCCTAACCCGTGGATGGGACCAAAAAGTCACACAACTCACATGCATGATATACATCAATATTGAGAAGTGGGAGCTATGAAAGTAACAACTCATGTTCTTTCAAGCTGTACATGCTCTATTCTATACAAAAGCTAAAATATTTTTAAAGAAATATAATAAGCCAATAGGTTGTCGGCATGAGCAGGCTCCCAAACTGTTTAGACTGAATTATAAATACTTGAGTTAAAAATATCAGTAACATATATTTCAATTTCCCAAAAAAGAGAAATTCGGTGCGGATGGTGACAATAATTCCACTCTCAAGAAGAGAAATTCAATGGATGGCCATAATCATTTACTCCATTACTTGATCCGAGGGGTCAGGTATGGTGGCTTGGAGTAGCTTCAAAGAACGATGATGATGAAAAATGCAATCCATTCACTTGTCTGGATTCAAAGATTGCATATTTGAATTGTCGACGAATTACGTTCTCTTGTCATGTGGGTGGATCTGAAAGTCAAAATCAATGTCACAAAAACAACTTCCAAATGTCTTCTTGAGAATTCAAATGTCTTCTTGTCATGTTGGTCAATAAGATTGGTGAATCAGTCTCATAACCAATCTAATCAAGAATTTTGGGCGGAATTAACTGGGTTGGATTTTATATTTCAATTTTATCTTCCCTTACTAAATTTGGATTGGCGTCATTTTGAGTTAAAAAAAATAGCATTATGTTATATTTGTGTTTATAACTCTATTTTGTTAGAATGTATTTATGGTTCATACATGAATGTTCAATTTTCCATTTACTTGTGGATTAATGTTTTTTCTATTAAATATTACTCTTATCAAAGTTATATATGAATTTTTTATATTCAAATTAAATTAAATTATTTTAAATATGATTGGATTGACTGTGATTGAACCATGATCAGATCACTGATTCTTAAATTACTGTCCTAACCAATTTAATGACAGGCCTAGTTTTCAATACTTGGATGCAATTGTTTCATTTACTCTCATTAAGAAAGATTGATATTTCTATGAACGGTAATTATATTTAATTCTAAGAATTGAAATTTTAAAAATTATTAAGGCCATCTGTGGGAATTGAAAATTTTTTTGCAGCTGATAAAATGACCTTAATTCTGATTTTTTTTTTTTTAAGATTGAAGAAGGATAAGTACTACTAATAAGTTTAAAGGTATATTATCTATTGGAATTCTTGGAAATTAATTCGTGGAAGTTGGAATTCCCAACTGAATACTTAAAAACTTCCAACTTACCTTTGATTTTTTTGGTATAAACTGACCTTTTATTTTATTTTGTAGTGACTTTACAAAGAGGATTATTGCTTAGTAAAAATTAACCATATTTGATTTTTTTTTTTGCAATTTTCAATGTATGTTTTAATAATACTTTTTCACATTTTTTTTAATAGTGATTTGGTTTTCCTCTTTAATATCTCCTACTCCCACTCCCTCTGCTCTTTATTATCAGTACTTTTCAAAAAGATATGTTTATATCATAAATAAAAGTTACTTTTAAAGACGTTTATTATATTAATTATTTTTCTTTCATTTATCTTGAATTTTCATATAAAAATCTCTCACTATATGTACGGGAAGAATATTCTAGTTTTCACCATTAATAAAAATAATGGTGAAAACTGTTAGAATTTTTTTTATTAATGAAGTGCTTTAATTAAGTAACCAACATTCAACCCATTTTATTTAATATACACACATATTAAAAGTGACTTGTATTAAGGATCATAACGGTTCAATCTCGTCGTCTGAAATGGAATGCAAGACATGAAACACTTTATAACGCTCCACATCTCTTTATTTTACTGCATGCAGAACCTATCAGAAACCTCGTTATGGTTTATGAGGCGAATTAAGAGTTACAAGAAGAGCACTAGGAAACAAATGTAATTCATTGGATGGAACTTGTCTTTTTTTAATCCTGTTTATAAAACTTCACTTGATAATACACGCGCACACTCTACTAGGTAATAGTAGTAAAACGGTGCTACTATTATATACATTTGATGTTCACAATTCGGAGAGAAACGGTAAGAGTTTGTTGCGGGAAACAGTAAAATACGAGAATGAAAAAGTGGAACTGTAAAAAGCTTAAGGCCTTAGGACTTTGTAAATGACTTTTAATTGTCATAGTTTCTACAAACAACGAGGATTATAATATTTCAGTTTCACTTTTTATCATGTTGTAACACTTTCCATGACGGTTAGTGAAAAGTTTGAATTTATCTATAAAATTATTATTACTTTTTTTTTATGATTTTTTTTTTTTTATGAAACACCAGAGCATCTCTACTCGAATAATAGGAAACTAATCTCTCAGAACTTGCAGGGGCCCGATTATGGGGGCTAGCCTCCCAAGTACGCTAGCTCCATTCCCATTCTTGTCACCGCCAAAAGTGTTTTCAACGGTGACAAATGTCGCCGCTGAAAGTTTTCAACCACGACTGCTACGGTAATGACTTTTTAGCGGTGACTTTTATACTTTCAGCGACGACTTTTTGTGACCGCTGAAAGTCAATTTTTTTGTAATGCGTTAAGAATGATGATTGGAAATCAAAGTTTTAGGTATTTTTTATCATTTTCATTTCCATTTTAGAAAATAACTGGAGTATTTACTTAATTGCAGTGGTATTTTTCCTTGTTTCTTCTTTATGTAGTAAGAAAACAATGTCATAACTCAAAAATTAATGTCTGGCAAAGTTACTTGTACTAGATTAAATAAAAAGTAATATCAATGTAAAAAAAATAGTTAATTTGTAAAGTATCAAATCATTAACGTTCGGGAGAATTACTCCTAATTAGATCTGATAATATTCAAATTTGACTCAATCAGATAGTCATGTGAAAAGATCATACATATTTTATTTATTGGTATTTGAGTCTATAAATGAAGGAGAAACATATATACGAAAAGCGTGGACATGGGTATAGGTCTAACCGTAAAAATTGCGTGTTGTATAATTCACTAGGAAGACCACATTTTCATTTTCAAGGCACTATTTCATCTGTGGTCTATGTGATCGGTATATCACAAAAAGATCGCAGCGAGAAGAAGCTTGTGTGGATACATTAGTGGATGGCCATAATTTTAGCATTAAGCAATTTGATTTGATGGGTCAATTTTAGTGCGTAGGACAAATGGGTATGAAGATAAGCTAGATATATTCGTTGCTTAAAAAGATAAAGATATTTTCATCTAACAATATCGTAGGAATTTTTAAAGAATATCTTCTTTGACCATGATGTTAAGCAGGCACAAGCTAACGTGTAACTTTTATTTGTTGGGAGCTTCTTATAACTTAATGACACCAATGATCTTGTTAAGCGTGAAATTACGGGTTTCATCCTCTATAAATAGGGTTAAGATGTAGATCAACTCATAAATTATTGTATCATTTTAAAAGCATGATGTGTATTTTTACATTATTTTCTTGGTTGACATGTTTGTTAGACAGTCAACATGAGTTGACTTAATGACCGTGACATTTTTGCACCATGTTGAATATTTTATATGCACTTTTGTACATGAAAAATTTTATAATATCTGGTACCTCTAATAGAATATTTCATTAGTAGATTTGTACTTGAACCCCTCTAAATGTGATGGGTGAATGACTTAGAATGAATGATTAAACAGAAAAAAAGAGTTTAACTTTGGAACATTGATTAGGGTAATTTTGTAGTTAAAGCAATTATGAGATTGAAAGTACATTAACAAAAATAAACGTAAATGATGAATTCAGAGAAAATTGAATGATCATAGGCATAAAGAAATTATGTAAGACCCATGCACAAATATTCCTATTCATTCATTCATTCATTTCGCCAAAAGTAATTATATTAATTTGAGTTACTCCGTTTTTCGAAAATGCCAATATATGATATTCGATTTGTAAATTTATAACCGGTTTGAAATTAGTTACTCTATTTTCACATTTGAAATGAACTAGATCATATAAAAAACACGGACGAAGCCACAATTATAAAATGAAAATTAGTAAATAATAAAATACAAAAACTTTCTACGACTTTTGGCCTTTGTTTATAACACTATATGAATGGCTTTTATTGTTGGTAAGAAAATAATAAAATAGGAAAAATTCAACTCAAAAATTAGAAATTACTAAATCTCAAATAAAAATTCCTATAAAAATATGTTGTTATTTATAAGTCAAGTATTGTCAAAACCTATTACAATATCAGAACCAAAACTAATTTGAAATTTAGAAATTTTAATTTTCTTCTTCAAGAATTCTCCCAATAACATATTCTTTTCTTTTTTTTTGGTGAAACCCAATAACATATTCTAAACCGTTATTTTGGCACTATAGGAAGTATATAATAAGAGGCTATAAAAGAAAAGGCGATTCAGTTTTCCGTGGGGATGAGCACCATACCTGGATCAGTGGATCATTCAAATTAAAATCGGATGGTTCAAGTTCAATATAATTTCATTTTCATATTTTTAATAGTTTAAACTTGGGTCCCACATTTTTCTTCCCTTGTCCAACATACAAGGGTATGAAGAAAAAATTATCATGTAGTTCCATATAAGTAAAATTTAATTACCAAGAGCTTCCACAAGAAGTGAGTAATATGCAATATTAAATTTCAGAGTGTAGGAAAATGACAACATAATGAACATATGATGCATATTTGCCGCTTATTTTGAGACTTTTTAATAACCAAATTACTTATTTACGTGGGATACAATGATTTTCCCAAATTTAAAAAATAAAAAAGAATTAAAAATGCTAAAATTAGGTGTATTGCAGATCGGTACCGTAGATGTACAGTATTAATGTACCCAATTCACAATAGATAAAGGTTTGAATGTTCTCATTATTCAAATGCAATAGTAACAATAAATTTGCTATATGCCAACATTCAAAATTTAAATGCACTATAAAATACAATATAGAAAAACATCATCATTCCATTTTTCAGGGTTAAAAGTTCAACCGAAAAAATACAAGGAGAAAAAGCTAAAGGAGCAATAATTAAAATTTGATCTAATAATTATTCAAGTATTTAGGGGTGTCTCTAATATCTTTTATAAACGAGGCCTTGATTCTGTTCAGTGTTACCACTACATCCTTCATGTTAATTCTTGCCCCAGGTAAATCAATGCAACAATGCAAGGCCAACTCAAAAAGTGATGATATATGTGACAATATGCTGCCAATATTTTGATCATCTTTTGGCAGTAAATTGACATCTAGAATATTAATGATGGAATGAGGCATTGATTTGCTAACCCAGTCTTTCAAACTCATACCTTGAACAAACATCTCATCTGTAGGTTTCTTTCTTGTAAGCATTTCCATCAACAAAATACCATAACTATATACATCTCCTTGAAAGGAAACAATTCCTTGTGATCCATACTCTGCATGTCAATTTCAAAAATTAATTAATAAAAAGTCATCACTGCCAAAAAAAATGTGTGTAGTTTTTTTTTAATTTTCAAAGTACAAAATCACATATAAAAAGACAAATATTTGTTGGTAATAGAATAATATAATATAAGATTTCATCAAACATAGAGTAAAAAAATAGAAATTAAATAATAAATATTGTGTTATTAAATACCTGGTGCCATGTAGCCTATTGTAGCCAAAGTCTTGGTATAAATTTCCATCTGTCCCTCACCTAGCAATTTGGCAATACCAAAATCACTAAGGTGGGCTACCATATCTTCATCCAACAATATATTACTTGGTTTTATGTCACAATGAACAACTGGTGTAGAAGAACCATGATGAAGATATTCCAAAGCAGCTGCCACATCAATCATTATGTTCAACCTTTGCAAGATATCCAAAAAATAGTTATTAGAATGCAACCATTTGTCAAGATTCCCATTTGACATGAATTCCATTATTATGGATTTAAATTTGCCATTTGAGCAATCACTAATTATTTTAGTGAGATTGCAATAACGTAAATTGCACAAAGTAGCACATTCAACGTCAAAACTTCTTAATGCTCCTTCTGGGCTTGAGTTAAATACTTTAACAGCAACTATTTTTCCATTTGAAAGAATTGCTTTGTAGACTGATCCAAAGCTTCCCCTTCCAAGAAGATTACACTCATCAAATCTATTTGTTGCTCGTAAAAGCTCATAATAGGATATCCTCATTAGTGTCTCAAAATTTATTAAATCCTTATTGGTTGAATCATTAACATAATCTCTCTTACGCTTTAAAAAGACTATGCATAAAATAATAACCAAAATGACAACCATGGTTGGCAATAAGCATTTTATCAACAACATAACTTTATTGGAGTTATGCTTGTTTCCTTTCCTACATGGCTGCACTAGTAGCTGGGGTTTCCCACAAAGATCTTTATTCATCATAAAAGAATCAGCTGTGAAATTCTTAAAAGACCCACCATTTGGGATTTCTCCTTCCAATAAATTGTATGAAAGGTTAATGTTTTTTAGATACACGAGCATCGCTAATGACTTTGGAATCACACCGGACAAGTAATTTTGAGAAAGATCCAAGAACTCCAAGCTTATCATTCCACCAACAGATTCCGGTATGGCTCCTTGTAATTTGTTATGAGCCAAAGAAAGGCTAAGCAAGGTTTTCAAGCCACCCATACTTGTAGGGATGTTTCCTACAAGTTGATTTCTTGACAAGTTCAAGAGTGTAATTGCTTTCAAGTTTGATACTTTGGGGGGAATTCTTCCACTCAATGCATTGGAGGATAAGTCTAAGACTAATATATCTTCAAGACTCCAAAGAGAAGATGGTATATGAGAAATCAATTTGTTAGACCTTAAATCCAACTTCCTCAAGGATGTATTTGTGAGACACCCTGGAATCATTCCCGAAAACATATTGTTGGCTAAATACAACTCACTCAAACTTTTGATTTGGCACAATTCATTTCTGATAGACCCTTGCAATCTGTTGTTACTCAGATATAAATGTTGAAGGCTTTGCAATCTGTTAATCGTATTTGGAATCAATCCGTCCAAATCATTCCCATCAAAATATAATGCTATCAGGTTTGTTAGATTCCCAAGTGCAGTGGGTATAACTCCACTAAATTTATTCCCTGATAAATCTAACATGATGAGCTTAGAAGCATTTGAGATGCTGTTTGGAATTTGCCCAATAAGTTGATTTTGTCCCAACCTCAATTTCTTCAGGTTGGGAAGACCAATTCCTAAATTTGATGGGAGAAAGCTAGAAAGGGAGTTATTTGCAAGGGAGACATGTGTCAACGCAGAAATGTTAAATATATAGGAAGGAAAGGGTCCAATGAAATTATTACGTGAGAAATCCAGCTCTTCAAGCTTATTAAGATTGGCTATCTCCTTGGGTATAAAACCTGGAAACAAAAAGCTGTTGGATAACTTACTCAAAAAAAAAAGGATGGAAGATAACATTTATATATATAATAGAATAAAGTACTAAAAATTGAGAAAAGACGCAATATTTTTTTTTGGTGCGCGCCTGTGTGTACAACATACATATGTTTCAAAATTTTGGATTCACTTCTCTATATATATGTTACAAGATGACTCCAAATATCTTATTAATTTCGGGTCCTTTCAAATCTTTGCAATGCTAACAAGTCCACGCTTAAATATAGGAAAGACAAATTTCATCCACGCATGAAATTATTAGTTAGTTACCTCCTAGTGATACATGGGGGCCTGCGTAGATCTCCCTGTCACCCCTTATGTGTCACATAAAACTCTTAACTACTTTTTGGGCAAGGATTCTATAGTATTTAATCATATTTAGAGAACATTTAACAAAGCTGCAAATAAATACTGTGCTGTTAAAGTCTCAAATTTTATTAATGTCTCAAATTTTAATGTTGTAACATGTACGCTATTACCAGAGCATGTCCTGGTTTTTGTAATTTATCAAAAGAAGCATAGGAATTATATAGAGTGTGTGTGTGTGTGTTTGAATTTCTTTTTTTAAATATCATTAAATTGTAAAGCTTACAATAATTTCTTTTCATATTAGCATGCTCAAATGAAGACATTAAATATGTGATAAAGTTATAAAGTTATAAGGGAAAATTGGTAAAAAAATCCCTGGTTGAAAATTTAATTGGTAAAAAAGATCTAAATTTGAGTAATTACAACTATGATCCATGAGTGCAACATATCTTTCGTTGTGTGCAAATTGTTACCCATCGTTGATGAGATGTTGTACACAGCGGAAGATATGTTGCACTCACAGGTTATACTTGCACGTGCTTAAATTCAGGTCCTTTTCACCAATTAAATTTTCAAACAGTGATTTTTTTACCAATTTTTCCAAGTTATAAACATAACACAGCTGATATAGAAAGGTTATAATGATTATTAGCATACCTGAAAACGAGTTCAAATCCAAATATAAGGCTAGCAATGATGTACAGTTACTTATTGATTTTGGAATACTTCCATCTAATTGATTGTTAACAACTCCAAAGACTTCAAGTAAAGGGAGTTGATGGCACATCTCTTCTGGCAAGTTACCGTTGAAATGGTTGTTGGAAAGGTAAACCTCTCCCAAAGAAGGTGCGTTGAAAATAAATTGAGGAATTTCACCTAGGAAAAAAAACACAAACACACACAATTTATGAATGTCTTTCCTTATTCAATTATAAAAAAAATTAGCTAAGTTACTTATTTGTAATATGAGAATGTTGTCTTCCTTAAAATACCCTAATCAATCATGTGCATCAAAGCTACCCCTTGATAAAAACTCAAAATGAGCAATCACTATAAGGATTATCTAGAGAAAATTGAATAAATATTAAAGACAACAAAAATTAGAGTCTTATATTTAGGATCAAAGGTAGTATCTTGCATTCTGCAAAAGAAACATAAGCAGCAATTTTCAACATTCTACTAAGTTGTTATTGATTATGAAAAACTAATTCTGTGGGAAGATATTAGCGTGCTAAAAATTTGATTTTCATTTAAGGAATGAGAATATTTTCAGTTAGAAATTCCGAGATGATATAGAACAAGCTTTGCAGATAATAAATGGAATTTCGTTGAAGCATAAAATTGGTGGATAAGTAGATATATTGACCATACCTGTAAAGGAGTTGTCTTCTAAATGTAAATATTCCAGCATT